ATGAAAGCCAGCTGGGTGACTTTGGGCCAATCACCAGGAGACGGTGAGTTCTAGTCCCGAGTTAGGCATGAAAGCCAGCTGGGTGACTTTGGGCCAATCACCAGGAGACGGTGAGTTCTAGTCCCGCCTTAGGCATGAAAGCCAGCTGGGTGACTTTGGGCCAATCACCAGTGCTGGGCTTTTGGAAACGGATCACGAGTGAAAAGAATCCGCTTCCTTTTTCAGGAATGCACCAATCCTTGCTGTAACCCCCAGAATTGCACGCTGAAAGCCGGAGCGGAGTGCGCCCACGGGGAATGTTGTCATTCCTGTAAGGTAATAACCGAAGACCTAGACTAATGGTGGTTTGATCCCTGCTACCCTCAATCCAAAGAAAATAGCCTGCTGCTTTGGCGGAAATCTTCTTCTCTTTGGCCTCCTGTAGCTCAAGACAGCCGGGATCCTGTGCCGACAGCCAGCTGGATCGTGCGACCTCCCGGAATATTGCACGGGCGCCTCCCCCTACTGCCCTGCCAACGTCTACTTGTTGGATGGCTCAACGTGTTCCCACGGAGGGGAGTATTGTTACAACGGCATGTGCATGACGCACCACCAGCAGTGCGTCCAGCTGTGGGGACCAGGTAAGCATCGCCTCTGGCTCTCTCTCGGCCCGTCGTTTTTACTCGTTTGTTCCTATCCTGCCTTTATTACTTTGATTAATAAATCAAGATGGGGAATATATCTAAGCCTCCTTCCCGCTCCTATTTTCCCCATAACGACAACCCTGTGAGGTGGGTTTGGCTGGGAGAGAGAGAGAGACGGAGGGACTGATTCCAAGTCACCCAGCCAGCTTTCGTGTCCAAGGCAGGACTAGAACTCACCGTCTCCTGGTGATTGGCCCAAAGCCACTCAGCCGGCTTTCATGCCTAAGGCAGGACTAGAACTCACCATCTCCTGGTGATTGGCTCAAAGTCACCCAGCCAGCTTTTGTATCTAAAGTGGGACTAGAACTCACCGTCTCTTGGTGATTGGCCCAAAGTCACCAAGCTGGTTTTCATGATTATGGCAGGACTGGAACTCACCATCTCCTGGTGATTGACTTAAAGCCACTCAGCCAGCTTTTATTTCCGAGGTGTGACTAGAACTCACCGTCTCCTGGTGATTGGCCCAAAGTCACCCAGCCAACTTTTGTATCTAAGGCAGGGCTAGAATTCACCGTCTCCTGCAATGGGGCAATGGGGAGGGGGTGCGGTTTTGCTACGATGCATACAGCCCTCAACCCTCCCTGTATCCTAAGGGGCACAACTCTAGGTGGCGCACAATTGAGGTATGAAACAACACGCCTCAATAACAATCGAAGCGACGGTGTGATTTATTTCTGACTTCCTGACAGTGAGGACAATCAACCAGTGGAACAGCTTGCCACTAGAAATTGTGGGTACCCCATCACTGGTGATCTTTAAGAAGAGATTAGACAATCACCTGCCTGAGATGGTGTAGGTTCCATGCTTAAGTGGGGGGGCTGGACTAGAAGACCTTTAAGGTCCCTTCCAGCTTCTGTTCTATTCTATTCTATTCTATTCTATTCTATTCTATTCTATTCTATTCTATATTACAATATTTATTCTATTCTATATTACAATATTTATTCTATTCTATATTCTATTCTATATTACAATATTTATTCTATTCTTATTCTTTCCTATTGTTATTTCTATTCTATTCTATATTCTATTCTATATTCTATTCTATATTCTGTTCTGCTCTATTCTATTCTATTCTATTCTATTCTATATTACAATATTTATTCTATTCTGTTCTATATTACAATATCTATTCTATTCTATTCTATTCTATTCTATTCTATTCTATTCTATTGTTATTTCTATTCTATTCTATTCTATATTCTATTCTATATTCTATTCTATTCTATATTCTGTTCTGTTCTATTCTATTCTATTCTATTCTATATTACAATATTTATTCTATTCTATTCTATTCTATTCTATTCTATTCTATTCTATTCTATTCTATTCTATTCCATTCCAGTCCAGTCCAGTCCAGTCCAGTCCAGTCCAGTCCAGTCTATATTTCCTGAGTTGATCTTTCTTTTAAATGCGTTAGAAAAAAACCCTTCCAAGGCTAAATCGGGTCCCCTCTCGCCCCACAGGAGCTTGGCCAGCCCCCGACGCCTGCTTCCAGGATGTCAACAGGGCTGGGGACATGTATGGCAACTGTGGGAAAGACCGACAAGGCAACTATGTGAAGTGTGCCATGAGGTGAGCGCCTAGTGCCGCGAAGAGATCCAGATGTTCATTCTGAGGCGCCTAGTCAGATTAAGTTTGCAGCAACAGCGTCAAGGTCCCTTCCAGCTTTATTATTATAAATTGTGGACATGTTCTTTTGAAATATTGTATATTTATCAGTATTCAGTCAAGGGGGACATTTTATGTGTATGTTTGATATTTTGCTTTACACACATTTCCCTCCGTTCTTCCTTCCTTCCTTCCTTCCTTCCTTCCTTCCTTCCTTCCTTTCTTTCTTTTCCTTCCTTCCTTCCTTCCTTCCTTCCTTCCTTCCTTCCTTCCTTCCTTCCTTCTTTCCAGTTTTACTTCTTTCTTTCTTTCTTTCTTTCTTTCTTTCTTTCTTTCTTTCTTTCTTTCTTTCCTTCCTTCCTTCCTTCCTCCCTCCCTCCCTCCCTCCCTCCCCCCTTCTTTCCTTCTTTTACATCTTTGGTTTCCCCACTCCCCTTTCTTGTTTTTTTGATTTTATATTTTAACTTTGGAAGTAAATACAAAATTGGTCAACCACAACAGAAGGGCAGACTTCCATTCCGTGCGGGCATAATCAAATCTCTGCCCTGGATAAGAGTAGATGGTCCCTCCCAAGTGTTGTTGGAGAAGGACCCTGACACTTTCCACAGTTTGCGGTTGAACTTCCTGACTTGAGCCCCTGCTCATTTCTGCTTGATCGTTGGCTTTGCCAGGACACCTGGACGAGATCCCTATCAGCCAGGGATCCTGTCTCTTGAATCCTCTAGTTCTCCCCCTGATAGAACTAGAGGATTCTCTTTCCCCCCCCCCCTTCCAGAGATGCCAAGTGCGGGAAGATCCAGTGTCAAAGCTCAGCTGCCAAGCCCAAGGGTACCAACACCATCTCCATGGACACCACCATCCGGTTTAACGGGCAGGAGATCAAGTGCCGAGGGACCTTAGTCTATGCCACCAAGGATGACGAGGGAGATCTCTCCGACCCGGGGCTGGTGATGACGGGCACCAAGTGTGGAGATGGGTTGGTGAGTCCTCCAGAGAAGGGAAACAGCAGCCAACTTTTCTGCCTTCTGTGTTTCACGATGCAATAATAGGTCATGCAGTGGCCACAAACTCAGCAAAGCAGCTGGAGTTTTTTTTATGACACAGCAAGCTAGAAAAAGGGAATAATAATAATAATAATAATAATAATAATAGTAGTAGTAGTAGTAGTAGTAGTAGTAGTAGTAGTAGTAGTAGTAGTAGTAGTAGTAGTAGTAATTGTTGCAAGAAGATCACACAGACTGACTACCAGCAGCGGCATGACAAAGTAGCAACAATGGTGCATTGGAAGATCTGCAAGAAATATCATTTGCCTGTAAGCAATAACTGGTGGGATCATAAAATAGAGAAAGTCATAGAAAATAATAAAATTAAACTGCTCTGGGACTTCAGAATTCAAACAGACAAGCACCTGCCACATAACACCCCGGACTTAACAATTGTCGATAAGAAAGACAAAAAAGTCTGGATAGTGGACATGGCAGTGCCTGGAGACGGCAGAATAGACGAGAAAGAACTGGAGACGATAACAAAATACAAAGACCTACAAATAGAAATAGAAAGACTGTGGCAAAGGCAAGCAAGGGTAGTACCAATAGTAATAGGCGCCTTGGGTGCAATCCCAAAACAACTGGAGCACCACTTGAACACCATCATCGGCATTGACAAATTCACCATTAGTCAATTGCAAAAGGCGGCCTTACTAGAAACCGCTTCCATCCTGCGACAAGATCTGTAATACCATCAAACATCCACATCTGCCTATCCCAGGTCCTTGGGAAGGACTCGATAGGTAGACAAAAATGCCAAATCCAGTCTGAACATCTGGCTGACTGTGCGATGATCCATCATCATCATCATCATCATCATCATCATCATCATCATCATCATCATCATCATCATCATCATCATCATCATACCATCAAACATCCACATCTGCCTATCCCAGGTCCTTGGGAAGGATACGATAGGTAGACAAAAATGCCAAATCCAGTCTGAACATCTGGCTGACTGTGTGATGATCAATAATGATGATGATGATGATGATGATAATAATAATAATAATAATAAAGTTGGAAGGGACCTTGGAGGTCATCTAGTCCAACCCCCTGCTCAGGCAAGAAACCCTACACCATTTCGGACAAATGGCTGTCCTGTCTCTTCTTAAAGACTTCCAGTGATGGAGTACCCACAACTTCTGGAGGCAGGTTGTTCCACTGGTTAATTGTTCTAACTGTCAGGAAGTTTCTCCTTAGTTCTAGGTTGCTTCTCTCCTTGATTAGTTTCCATCCATTGCTTCTTCTCCTGCCTTCAGGGGCTTTGGAGAATAGCTTGACTCCCTCTTCTTTGGGGCAGCCCCTGAGATACTGGAAGGCTGCTATCCTGTCCCCCCTCGTCCTTCTCTTCGTTAAACTAGACATCCCCAATTCCAGCCACCGTTCCTTAATTGTCAGGGAGAAAATCTGTTTACGCAGCTCCTAAGTGTCAGTTTTGTTTTTTGATTATGTGACTTGATGGAACATAATGAATCAGACTTCTTTAATCACAACTGACTCTAAAATCATTTCAGAACATCCCTTCTCATTTGCTAATGATGACTTTTTTTGGGGGGGGGATTTCCCTTGCAGGTGTGCAAAGACCAGCGATGTCAAAACGCGTCCTTTTTCGAACAGGATAAATGCATCTCCAAATGTCACAGCCACGGGGTGAGTCGGCAGCGAAAGCTTTGGCTTATTTCTGTTTCTGAATTAAAGATTTTATTGATTTTTCTCTTACATACAGATGTTAGTTGTTCAACCAACCAGCTGTCTGGAATCAACAATGCTAACACATGTTCCACTCCTAATCCTTCATTCTTTCTTCTAGCCAATAGTAGAATAAGTCCCAAGTTTGATAGTCGTCTGTACATTTAGGCAAGAAAAACCAAATGCACAGGTATAATATAGGGGGTACCTTGCTCAATAGTAGTAACTGTGAGAGGGACCTCGGAGTCCTAGTAGACAATCCCTTAAAGAGGAGCCAGCCGTGTGCTGCAGCTGCCAAAAAGGCCAACACAGTGCTGGGCTGCATTAACAGAGGGATAGAATCAAGATCAGGTGAAGTGTTAATACCACTTTACAAGGCCTTGGTAAGGCCACACTTGGAATACGGCATCCAGTTTTGGTCACCACGATGTAGAAAAGATGTTGAGACTCTAGAAAGAGTGCAGAGAAGAGCAACAAAGATGATTAGAGGTCTGGAGGCTAAAGCATATAAGGAACGGTTGATGGAATTGGGAATGTCTAGTCTAATGAATGACGAGGGGTGACAGGGATGACAGGATAGCAGTCTTCTAGTATCTCAGGGGCTGCCCCAAAGAAGAGGGAGTCAAGCTATTCTCCAAGGCAGGAGTCAAGCTATTCTCTGAAGGCAGGACAAGAAGCAACGGATGGAAACTCATCAAGGAGAGAAGAAGCAACCTAGAACTAAGGAGAAACTTCCTGACAGTGAGAACAATTAACCAGTGGAACAACTTGCCTCCAGAAGCGGTGAATGCTCCAACACTGGAGGGTTTTTTTTGTTTTTTTTATTGAAAAGTTTTATAAAAGTTACAATATAAACCCCAAAACCAACCCACCCTAAACCCCCCCTCTCCCTCCCCCACTTCCCAGAGCTGAATACAGGGTTACAAATATAATAATCATAATCTAACTAACATTAACCAACTATATAAATAACCAAGTCCATAATGCGCTTTAACTCCCCTTTAACATAAATATAATAATAATAATTAAAACATAAACAAATTAGTATCCTAATTATTAAACAATAAAATATCCATATTGTTAAACAATACTAATACTAAAAGTAATAATAATATCATATAATTAAAACTAATAAAAATTTCACTACAATAAACTATTAATACTAATAATACTCTAAAATTTACTCATAAGCTAAATGGAACTAAATGGAGGTTTTTAAGAAGAGACTGGACAGCTATTTGTCTGAAATGGTGTAGGGTTCCTGCCTGAGCAGGGGGTTGGACTCGATGACCTCCATGGTCCCTTCCAACTTTTTTATTTATTTTATTATTATTATTATTATTATTATTATTATTATTATTATTATTATTATTATTATTATTATTATCTCCACGCATTCCAATATTATTTCTTCTTCTGGTGGTACTGCTTCATTTTCCCAATATTGCGCAAAAAGTTATTCTTGCCGCTGTAATGACGTGTAAAATCAAATACACGCTTTGTTTGTTAATCTTTTCAGCCATTATACCTAACAAGAAAAGTTCAGGTTTGAAATCAACATGTTCATCTAATATTTTTTTTTTTCTAACCAGGCTTGTATATATTTCTGAAGTTAGATGCCCACCTTCTCTTTTGGGCGAATTTGTGGGGGGGGCAAAAATGAGACGAGAATTTCATTTAATGCATCACAATTTTCAAACAAGAGGCAGGTGCTCAAATAAACCCTTTTGCACGTGTCTCTAGCAACTCTATAGATGACAAGTAGGTCCTCTGCTTACAACGGCTCGTTTAGTGGCTGTGAGAAGTTACAACGGCACTGGAAAAAGGGACTTAGGACCGTTTTTCACACTTACGACCGTTGAAGCCTCCCCGGGTTCACATGATCAAAATTCAGACCTGGGGCAACTGACCCATATTTATGACAGTCGCAGCGTCCTGGGGACATGTAATAATAATAATAATAATAATAATAATAATAATAATAATAATAATAATAATAATAATAATAATAATAATAATAATAATAATAATAATTTAAAAAAAAGTTGGAAGGGACCTTGGAGGTCATCTAGTCCAACCCCCTGCTCAGGCAGGAAACTATACCATTTCAGACAAATGGCTATCCAGTCTCTTCTTAAAAATGTCCAGTGTTGGAGCATTCACCGCGATCCACGTGAACAAAATCCAGACGCTCGGCGACTGACTCGTACTTACGACCGTCGCTGTGTCCCGGGGGAGGGTCACGTGATCCCCTTTTCCCGATCTTTCGACAAGCAAAGTCAACGGGGGAAGCTAGATTTCACTTAGCAACCGGGTTACTAATTTAACAACTTAACAACAACAACAACAACAATAATAATAATAATAAAGTTGTAAGGGACCTTGGAGGTCATCTAGTCCAACCCCCTGCTCAGGCAGGAACCCTACACCATTTCGGACAAATGGCTGTCCAGTCTCTTCTTAAAAACTTCCAGTGTTGGAGCATTCACCGCTTCTGGAGGCAGGTTGTTCCACTGGTTAATTGTTCTGACTGTCAGGAAGTTTCTCCTTAGTTCCAGGTTGCTTCTCTCCTTCATGAGTTTTTTTGTTGACCTTTTGACAAGCAAAGTCAAGACTCACTCCACACGTTCTCTGATTGTCTTAGGTTTGTAACAGCAACCACAACTGTCATTGTGATGCTGGCTGGGCCCCTCCATTCTGTGAGAAGCCAGGGCTGGGAGGCAGCGTCGACAGCGGCCCCGTCCAGCAAGACCGTAAGTCCCCCCCCCTCTTTCTCCCTTGCTCTCCCCTTTCTCCTCCTCCTCCTCCTCCCTCTTCTCCTCCTCCTTCTCAACCTTCATTTTCTTCTTCTTCCCCTTCTTTCCCTTCTCTCTTTCCCTTTCTCTTTCTTCTCCTCCTCTTCCTCCTCCTCTTCCTTCTCTTCTTCCTCCCCCTCTCCCTCCTCCTCCTCCTGGACGGATGGATGGAAGGAAATAAGGATGGAAGGATGGATGGATAAATGGATGGAAATAAAGATGGAAAGATGGATGGGTTGATGGTTGGAAATAAGGATGGATGGATAAATGGAAGAATGGATGGATGTAAAAGATGGATGGATGGATGGAAATATGGATAGATGGATGAAAGGATGAAAGGATGGATGGAAGAAAGGAAGGAAATAAGGATGGAAGGATGGATGGATAAATGGATGGAAATAAAGATGGAAGGATGGATGGAAATAAGGATGGATGGATGGAAGGGATGAATGGATGGAAATATGGATGGATGGATGGATGGAACGAAGGAAGGAAGGAAATAAGGATGGAAGGATGGATGGAAATAAGGATGGATGGATAAATGGAAGAATGGATGGATGTAAAGGATGGATGGAAATAGGGATGGCTGGATCGAAGGATGGAAGGGATGGATGGATGGATGGAAGGAAGGAAATAAGGATGGAAGGATGGATGGATAAATGGATGGAAATAAAGATGGAAAGATGGATGGATTGATGGGTGGAAATAAGGATGGGTGGATAAATGGAAGGATGGGTGGATGTAATGGATGGATGGAAATATGGATGGATGGATCGAAGGATAGATGGATGGATGGATGGATGGAAAGAAGGAAGGAAGGAAATAAGGATGGAAGTTTGGATGGATAAATGGATGGAAATAAAGATGGGATGATGGATGAAATAAGAATGGATGGCTAAATGGAAGAATGGATGGATGTAAAGCATGGATGGATAGAAATATGGATGGATGGATGGATCAAAGGATGGATGGAAGGAAGAAAATAAGGATGGAAGGATGGATGGAAATAAAGATGGAAGGATGGATGGATAAATGGAAGAATGGATGGATGTAAGGGATGAATGGATGGAAATATGGATGGATGGATGGAAGGATGTATGTATGTAAGGAATGGATGGATGGATGGAACGGAAGGAAGGAAGGAAGGAAATAAGGGGGGAAGAATGGATAGATGGATGGAAGGATGGATGGGTGGAACGAAGGAAGGAAATAAGGGTGGAAGGTTGGATGGATGTTAGTCTATGTGGGGCAACTGAAGCCTGCAACTGTGACCTTCTCCTCCTCCATGGACTCTCACAGATTATGAAGCCATCTTGATCACTTTGCTGGTGATCTTCCTGCTCTTGGTGCCCTCTCTACTCCTGGGGCTCTACACCTGCTACAGACGAGAGAGTTCGCTCCTCAACAAGTGGGTCAAGGACTTAAGGAAGAGGCAGAAGACCGGCAGGTGGGCAGCTCCCTAACCACGTGTGGACCCTTTTCTTCTCTCCTCTCTTCTCCTAATACTGGCCACGCACCCCGATTTCTCCTCCTCGCCGTTAGTTGCAGATTCACTGCATGGATAACCCTTGCACCCAAACTATTTTTCACGGAAAGGCACCCCTAACTCACCGGTGGGCCCTCGTCCACACAACCTGCTTTAACCCAGTTGCAAACAAACCCACTTTCGGTTTCCTTAAGCCATAAATTTAGCCGGTGGCTCCGATTCGCCCCGGGGGCTAAGCCGATTCTCATCTCCCCAGGGTGAAATCATGGCTAATCCAGTTGTGTCCCGACAGTTAGAACAATTCACCAGTGGAACAACCTGCCTCCAGAAGTGGTGAATGCTCCAATACTGGAAGTTTTTAAGAAGAGACTGGACAGCCATTTGTCCGAAATGGTATAGGGTTTCCTGCCTGAGCAGGGGGTTGGACTAGGTTACCTCCAAGGTCCCTTCCAATTTTATATTATTATTATTATTATTATTATTATTATTATTATTATTATTATCATCATCATCATCATCATCATCATCATCATCATCATCATCATCATCATCATCATCATCATCATCATCATCATCTCTTAAAGCGATCTGGTATAGCCCCAGACCAAGGAGAGATGGATGCTGGAAACAACCCAACACTTTTTCATTCAAGGCAGCAAACTTAATTATGTACAACATAATCTCGAGAATTATTTTACCGTTC